GCAGTGTGGCGGGGGTATTGGTGAATGTTGTGACATACGAGTCCCATCTCCCTCCGCTCTGAGACTGATAAGGAGCCCCCCGTGTTTATCACTTGCCAGCAGTTGCGTCACTGCACCGCTCTAGTCTCGGCACGGACACGCAGGGCCTCGTGTAGATCAGATTGTTACTGTACACACTGATGATTGATCTGGGAGCTCTGATCACTGAGCTGTGCATTCTGTATTGTGTTTAATCGGCAAAGCTTATACCGCTCCCCCTAACCCCCAGATGCATTATGTCAGCACGTTGCCGAGTTGAAGGGTAAAGTGTGGTCGGGCGTGTTTTTAAAGAAGGCTCCATATGCGTCACTGGGAACTGGGTGATGTATTATAGACTTTGGTGACCGCTGTTGGCTTACTTCCTGCAGTGTAACAGAAGCTCTTCTGTCCGAGCAAACAGACCCAATGAATGTCTTATAGGAGCAGGAATGGATGTTTACTGGGCTCGGCCGCTCCTACAGAGAAGGGCATTATATGATCTATCTCGGGGGTAGGCAACCTCGGCCCTCCTGCTGTTGCAGAACCCCCAGAAGTCCCATGAGGCATTGCAAGACTAACGTGGCTACGAGCCCCGGAGGCAGATGCATGATGGGATTTGTATTTTCACCACAGCTGGAGTGTTGCCTACCCCTGTTATATCTTAAGTGCCACATGGTCACCTGGTAGGACAGCTGTGTAATATGTTTACAATATTCTGTGTACTATAGCAGTCAGCGATGCACCGATACCGGTTTTTTCGGTTACGAGTACCGATATTTTGCTGCCGGTACTTGCCGATACCGGTGCTACCACTGGCATGGAGTCGGCTTCCCGGGTAATGACTCGCCGCCCGGCTTCCTGATTTCCCGGTGTTCTATCGAATTCTCCAAACTCCTGTCAGTGCGCCTGCGCAGCCCCCCAAAGAGGAGTCTCAAGCTCTACAATCTGCGGAAGTGCGCCTGCGTGGGCACCCGATGCCACAAACACCGACAGGAGTTGAAGAACTCTACATATTCCTAGCCACAGAGGCGCACCTACGGCAACTGGAAGAAGTTGAGGATTGCTAAAACTGGCGCACTATCACCACTTCGTTGAAATGTACAACGGATGTGACGTGACAAGTTGGAGATCTCGACGATTTGGCCTTCTCGACAGAACACCGGGAGGCCAGCTCTGTTTGGCCGGCTCCATGCTGATTGGCTGGGAGGTCTGCTTCACAGGCGATCAGCATGGAGCTGGCTTCCCGTCCACTCGGTAACCCGGGAGGCGGGTTTGTTACTTGCCGCCCGGCTTCCTGATTGCAAGGGAAGCCGTCTCCATCTTCCCCCTATGGCACTGCAGGTCAGAGCAAATCTTACTCTGAACGGAAGTTCCGGTATGGGAGCATTTGGGCGAGTACGAGTCCAAATACTCGGTATCGCCACCGGTGCATCCCTAATGGCAATATATGCTCTTTAGACAGGCAGGATCTGCTTCCTGAGTTGTAGCATGGCTCGGTGACTGCACTTTACTGATTTCTCAGCGGTAATACTGCCTACACTATTTCAAACACGGGACACTTGCCCATTCAAGGGGTCAGACTGGCAACAAAAACTTTTAAATGCATAGGTGTGAATGGACTCTAAATGGAGCCTGTTATGGGAGAACATGGAGCAAGTGTAGGCAACCTGTAGCTGTGGTGGCACTACAAATCTCAGCATGCTTCTGACAGTCATGACTGTCAATCTGGCAATGCCTCGGTTTTCCACAACAGCTGGTGTGCCTACGTTGCCTACCCCTGACATAGGGAGCACCCATTGCTGTCCAGTCCAGGGGTGGCCAAACTGCAGCCCTCCAGCTGTGGTGACATTACAAATCCCATCATGCATCTGCCTCTGGGTGTTATGCCTGTGGCTGTGAGAATCTTGCAATGGCTCATGGGATTTGTAGTTCCCCCCACAGCTGGAGTTTACCCTGCTCTAGTCCTACTGTGGATGTTGTTTGCTTGGTTGCCACTGATGATCACAAATACTGCCGGTTTATTCTTGCATGCTTGTTCTAGGCCTGTGACCGACAATGTAAAGAGCTTGACTGCAGCAATGGCAGCTCCCGCATTTCTCTCATGACGGGTGCACTGTAAGGATCGCTCCCATTTACCTGGAGACCAGGAACAATATTCTGCACGTCGGCAGACAAAACCCGAGCCGGTGCATTGTGCTGAATCATTCCCTGACCTATAAAGAACATTAATGTTATTAGGAGGCATTCTGGAGGCTAATGAAAGACCTGCTGAGACCTGCGAGATAAAAGTCTACACAGTGCTGTTAGGACACACACAAAGTTGCCAGACCTGTTTAGATAATGTGCCCCGACAGAGCGTGTGCCACGGGCGCTTGGGGTTCTGAAACTAACCATCTGCTGAAAATATCCCGGAGCTCTTTATTAAAAGGGGATTTCTGTTTTTGTTGAAGAGTCAAAACAGCCCAACTCGAGTTTTGCCGAGATGTTTCTGGCCAACTTTATTGCAGGCGTTTCCCTGCTTCTATCCCTTCAATATAGGGTCAGGCCATGATGCGGGGACGTATGATGGGGGTGAGCTGTGCGCCTTGTGTTTTTTCAATAGTCAGGCCATGCCAGGGAACCTGCTGAGTTGGACAGTCGGCCTTTACTATAATTGCATGAGTTAAATCGTGACACTGCTCCCCCAGATTTCTTTCAGAGGTGCAGTGTGAAACACGTGCGATGTAAGCTTAAAGGAGAACTATGAGGTGAGTGAAAAATCACTCATCCTCATAGTTCGAGCCGACCTGCGACAATGAAACTGCCACACGTCGGCTCAATAGATCGGGGAGTGAGCGAACGCATACCGTCGCTCGCTCACTTCTCGATCACGTCCCTGCAGAAAGTCGTGACTGTGAATCACGGCTCCATGCAGGGATTCCCCCCTCACCGCTCTGATCCTCCAATGCTGACTGGCAGGACGGGGGAGGGGGTGGGTACAGCTGGCTCTGCTTCTAGATGGGCACTCACGCAGCTGGATGGATCTCGACAGTAATGTCGGGATCCGTCCCGGCTTCGGCGGCCTCCGTAGGCCGCAAGCTGTAGCTCGCGGTGTACTGAGCTTTGGGTCACAGGACGACGCTAGTTTATGTCCTCCCGTGACCCTTAGGAGAACTATGGGGAAAAACACTTACCCCCATAGTTCTCCTCCTTTTTTTTTAAAGCAGAGTTCTGGCTAAGATGTTTTATCAACCCTTCCGATGGGGCTGCCCCCCTTGCAAGGTTTAAGTGCTCTTTTGATCTGGGGAGGAAAATAACAGTTATACTCGTCTGAACCTCTGAGCCGGCTTGCTCTTAGACCGGTTCCTGGAGCCTCTCTCAACCTCGGCTGAGGTCCCAAGGTCCCATAAATTATCACATCCAATACCCTGTGGGGGTGCTTTTAGTTGCCTGTGATTTTGCTGCCCCCCTCGATGAGATGCCACCTGCTTCATTATGGGGACCCCCCCCCGCTCCCCATGCTTTCATTATTTGTGGTGTTTGGGTATAGCCAAATCAGCAAAAGGTTTGCCACTTTTTTTCTTTACATGCCACAATGCTGTCTCTTCCATGGGTGGTATCCCTATTAATGGCATCACTGCAGTTTATGGGCATTTCAAGGGAGAAAAAAAAACGCCTAACTAATGCCCTGACCAGCAGAGACAAGCCCTAACAGCTGCATTTCCGGGGCAAGCTTTCGGGGGTGTGGACCGCCTCTTAATCCAAGCTGTGGGCCGAGACAAAGAGGGGGTAGATCCCTTCAAAAGCTTGTCCTGAAAATTTAACTGTTGAAATAAAAATAAGTGTCACAGACACAACTCAACTGTGTTGTTGCAAGTGTGCTAATATGGCTGCAATGTGCTCACTGCACATATAAAGTTGTCACTAGGACAGAAAGCAGACGTTGTAGTAATACCGAATGACAGGAACAAGGCTGCTTGGAGCGTAGATACACCAGGACCCTCCTGTGATGAATGTCTTCCCTTGTGTCTGAGGAATGTCGGCTCCAGACCCCGGGGTGATTTATGTACATGAAACAATTTTGTTATTGAGACGCTCTGGGTTTGTAGGAAAGCGCGTGCATCCACCATCCCTTACATGCCATCAGTAAAATAATGATACTGTAGCTTATTCCAGGAGCCAGGTCGTCAATCCTCAAAAATGACAGCTGGCACCTAACTGTTCAGGTTTTCTCTAGTTGCTGTGAAAGACGAACTTTACTCATATCTTTGAAAAGACAACAAACGCCTCTCTAGAAATGACAATCTACAAACTGATACTTCTAGATAATTGCTGACTTTTTACTCTTTGCATTCCTTTTTCTTTTCCTCCCCCAGTCTTCTTACAGGAGCCATTTTCACTAAGGGCAGATGAATCCATCTCCCTTTACTTCCTGGGACTCTGGCACATGTGACTAGAACATGTGACCATGCACATGATCTCAGAGGAGGAAAATACCTTTCCCTGAGAGCTCGCAAGATTTTGCAGTTTACAGATGAGATTCTCCAGCAATGCTCTGCTGACGTAACCTTCCCATGATGCATCTGTAAAGCTTCATTCACACTGCGCTAACTCGGGGTGTGCACGCCCGTATCGGGCCGTTCCCAGTGTAGCAGCCGGTTCTTCTCTTTTTGGGAGGACTCGGCTGTACACTGTCATACGCTCACCCAAAGTGCACATCCGTGCGGGTCAGGGTATGCCGCGCATGCACGCCCCGAGTTAGCGCAGTGTGACAGACCTTAGGCATGGGCTACATCACTGAGTCACAGTAATTGTAAAAGTAAAATTTGTTTAATGAATGTAAGATGTCATATCGGCATGCGGAACTGCATGATGATGTGACTTTTAGTTTAAAAAGTTAAAGGTCAGTCACCTTTAATGGAATTGGCGCCTAAAAGTGTGTGTGTTTTTACATGGAGACAGACATATATTCCTTAATGACAAATTTTCCTATTCTTTTGCAGTAAGCTGACCACTGCTGGAGAGCTCATGGAAGGAAATAAAAATGCAGGTGACAAAAAAGGTGAGCAGTTCCATTATTCCTCGATTTTTCCCAGAACTTCCATTGTGCAGTTTGATTTTTCTTAGTGACCCTAAACTCCTCAGGAATTAAATCTTAAAAATACATTTCAAGTCCCTTTTTAACTATGAACAACAATGTATCTTATTTGTGTATCACTCGGCTGTAGATCCTCCAATCATCTCTGAATTTGGTGCTGACACTGTCCTTCCTTCTGGAGGGGGGCTACTTTTGTTCCCAATGGTCCTTGTGTGTGTTGAAAAGTAGTCGCCGCTCCAAGCTCACTCCTGTGATGGACTACAATCGCAATACAAATTAGAAAACTAAACATGAGATTGTAGTCCATCCCGGGAGTGAGCTTGGATCGGTGACTACTTTACAACACACACAGGGACCATGAGGAACAGAAGTAGCCCCCCTCCAGAAGGAAGGACAGTGTCGGCACCAATTCAGAGGTGATTGGAGGCTCTACAGCCAAGTGATACACAAATAAGATACATTGTTGTTAATAAGGTACTTGAATGCGTTTTTAAGATTTAACTTCTGAGTTTAGTGTCACTTAAAACTTTTAGTGACACTGTGACCTTGGGCATTTAGGGCAGACACCTCTTTAGAACTTATGTCACACCAGAATAAAATACCTGTGAAAAAACAATATTGTGCCGCGCTAATAATCATACATATCTAATAAATTAAAACATATATAAATGAGTCACATATATGAGCCTTCCATCAAATGAGGCATAAGAAATAACTACACACATACAAAAAAAGCAATATAGGCAAAAAAAGTCCCAAGGAAAAAAAACAAACGCAAACAATGGTGATTGTGCAAAAAATTCCTCAGATGATTCGCAGCCAATGTGCATATAACTCTCAGGTAAGGATAATCACACAATGCAGGCAGACCTTCACCTCCACCCAGTGAGTGATGATAACAAGTGAATGCTCACCTGGGGAGGTAGACCCACAGAGCTAGGTCAAATGCACTTTTTCCCTTCTTAATGGGGGAGGGAAGCCCATGCACAGAAAAAGGCGATAAGGTCTCCTCAGATCACAGGTACCAGTATAAATCCCGGTGGAAAGAGAAAAAGGACAAGGACATAGTGCGTAACGTCCAATAAAATGCAATTTATTATATAAAAAATGCGTACTCACAATGGTGTAAACAGTACAGGCATTGGGTATAGCTGGATCATACCAGCAGGACAAATGGCAGCAAAGTGATAAGAAGTGATATTGTTTTAGTTTTAGAATAAAATACCTGATGCTTCTGGGTATGCTGGAGCTTGTGATTCCCCTCCTGATAACGCAGTGCTAGGGGCAAACAGTAATATACTTGACGGGGGTTGATGACATGACCTCTAAGATGTTAATGGGTATTTTACGCTGGGAGGGAAGCCCTGACTGGGCAAAGCGAATGAGTCTCATTAAAGATGTGGCGTTATTTTAAATTGGAGATTCCCCTTTTGATGGGTGAAGCTAAACTCTGTGGCAGCCAGCACTCTTCTCTACTCTCCAATGCTGTTGGGATGCTCCTCCGCATCATATGCACAATGCAAGAACACTTGTCCTGCATTGTACATGACCTTGGCGAACGGGACTGGTTGGGCAACAAAGAGGAGCAACTTCGGAGGACCAGTCCTGCAGAGAGGAGTACTCTGACAGGAGCAAGGAATGAACAAAATGCAGTTTGCATGGGGTCCCAGTGCAAGGGTAACATTTTTCTTTCTGCTCGGGGTTCGGCTTTAAGAGAAGAACTCCGGATTCTGCAGGTCTCAATCACCCTGAACATGACCCCCTACTTCCTTTAAGCATGGCAGGTGATTGGTCACTGAACCTGGGCACGTCATGGGTTGTGGCCATTTAAAGAGCTGCTTCCTGTTGGTCTTTTGGTAGTTAAAGATTGATCAAGTGAAGCCCTTTTTGCTTTGATTGCAACTAATTTTATCATTCATTCATTCACACAGACAAACTGGCCGACCAGATAATGCAGAACCCTCAAGTTCTCGCTGCTCTGCAGGAGAGACTTGACAGCGTTTCTCACACTCCGTCAAGTTACATTGAAACGTAAGTTATGTGATGGTACCCGGAACCAGTGGAAATCCCTCATTGGGTCTCCTAACATATATGGAATGGTTCTTAGTGTTGTAGTTGTGAACCCCCTATGTGTATAAGGGTAATGGTACTGTTTGTGCTTTTCATGGTAATTTCTCCTTCACACTGCCAGTCTCGACTTGCCCACCTTAGTGTATAAAGTGTCTAATGAGAGAGACAAAAAAAGGTCAGAACTTTTAATATTGGTTCAAACAGGATAACATAAAACAGCCAATGCTTTTCAGATTCTCAAAAATCCTTCTTCAGGGCTTCAAAACTGACATAAAATGGGTATAAAAAATAAAATCCTATATTGGTCCGTTCGCTTATAAGAAGTATCAACTCCTATATAAATCTGAGACCATTTTTTCTTGAAGGTACATTTTTATGTCTTGTTTTGTAGCCCTGGGAGAAGGGGGAGATTTTTGAGCCCCTGAAACACATTGCCTGGTTCATGCTATCCATTCGTGAACCAATACTGATATTAAACATTTTTGGATCTTTTATTAGGCTTGATACATGTAGATCCTCTGTTTTCGGTCCCCTTTTTAGGGGGTGTCCTGCTCTATGGAGGGAAGCCTCAGGCCAGCCACTGTGCCCAATAATAACCTGACTGGCTTACTGAAAAACAGAATCCAGCATTTTTAGTTTAATTTCTTTCGGACTGATGACCACTTTATAGGGTATTGCCTTGTTGGCATACCCTGCCCCTCAACTGATGTCTGTCAACTTGCAATGCATGATGGGAATTGTAGGTTGAACGCAGACATGGTCAGTAGATGGTGAGTGTGTTTTTAAAAGAACGTAGCCAGATTTTGATCATTTTAAAAGGTATTTACTTGTAAAACTTTTTTGTATTATTATTATTAAAACATACTTACACTTATCTCCTGTTCTTTTGTGTGACTAGATTACAGCTTTAAAGTGAACCTGTACTTGGTTGAAAAGGCTTGCCTAAGAGTAGCAATCCCTAGAACAGGTGTAGCCAAGCTCCAGTCATCCAGCTGTGGTGAAACTAAATTTCCCATCATGCCTCTGCCTCTGGAAGTCATGCCTGCGACTTGTCAGTCCTGCAGTGCCACATGGGACTTGTAATTCCACTGCAGCTGGAGTGCCGAGGTTGCCTACTCCTGCCCTAGATCAAGGGTAGCCAAGCTTCGGCCCTCCAGCTGTGGCGAAATTACAAATCCGACCATTTGTCTGCCTCGGAGTCATGCCTGTGGATGTCTGCATCTTGCAATGCCTTATGAAACTTGTAGTTCCGTAACAGCTGGAGGGCTGAAGTTTGGATAGCCCTGCCATAGATGCTTGTCAGTATCCAGAAACCGAATTAAGGACACTGTCCATGGATAGGACCTAGTGTTCAGTAAGGACATGCTCATTGGCAGTTGGTACAGCTTAGCATTGCGGCACCAAGGCAAGCCAGGCCCTGGTAACAAAGTAAAACTACATCAGAACGGAGCACGGAAGTGACTTTACTGGCTAATAAAGGCAATAACAATCTGGGGAGGTAGAATAAATACTTTTATAAGTCGAGTACGGGCTTAACCCCAAATAAAAAAACCCTTCCAGTCAAGTGGCTGAATATACAATTGAAATGTGTGCATGCAATTTGCTTTACTTGTACTAGGATTAGTAATTCTATTCAGCCAGCCAATGATTCATAAGCACCCTGCCAGGATTGACTGGCATGTCAATAGCATTCATTCTTTGCTCTTTCAAAATATTTATTGACACAAATATAGGCTGGTATTCCTAAAATTATGTAAACATTAATGTCTGCAGCGCTCTAGCCCTTAATCCTCCATACCCCTTCTACAACAATATATAAAGTGTCCATTTGAGTGCATCACTTATTCCAAAATGACATCACTTTTAATGTAAAGATACATTTCAACCACACAATGTATAACTAGCCTTTGTAGCAAGGTGCACGTGGAAGGGCTTACAACAATACAATACACAGAAGTTTCCAACTAGCCTGCAACAAAACACATTACCCCGTCTAACAGTATGCAGTAAAATCAGAGGGTTTAGTTGCACAACTTTTTGCAAAAATGTGGAAGCCACACCGTCTCGTCAAGGCTCCTCTGTGCAGTGTGGTCCTAACTCTCCATGTTGGAGCATATTTAAGCAGTTGATTGAATGCAGGTATGCCTGGAGGGAGCCCACATTATGTTTTGTATTGTATTTAAAAGAGAACTACGGGGTAAGTGTTTTTCCCCATAGTTCTCTTTAGGGTCACGGGAGGACATATACTAACCTCCTCCCGTGACCCAAAGCTCAGTATATCGCGAGTTACAGCTTGCAGTATACTGAGACCGCTGCAGCCGGGACGGATCCCGGCAATGCTGTCTGGATCCACCCAGCTGCGTGAATGACAGTGGGCTCTGCCTATCTAGAGGCGGAGCCAGCTGTACCCGCCCCCTCAATCAGCGCTGGAGGATCGGAGAGGGGGGATCCCTGCAAGGAGCGGTGACTGGCAGTCACGGCTCTCTGCAGGGAGATCGAGAAGTGAGCAAGCGATGGTATGCATTCGCTCACTTCCCGATCTATTGAGCCGACGCGTGACCGTTTCATTGTCACATGTCGGCTCCAACTATGAGGCTGAATGATTTTCACTCACGTCCTAGTTCTCCTTTTTAATATGTCACATTAAAATTCATAGTATTACACCTTGTAATGTCTTCAAAACCATCTGTGATCTCTTGTTCAGACCACGATATATGTGAGAGTCCTCCCCACACGTGATTGTGCTCCTCAAATCAAGGCGCTCATCCTCATTAGTACCTTCCCATTTGGGACAGGTAACTCGGCTTATTGGATATCTATTCTGGTTATCATGTGTGACGACATTCTACCTTTTACTCCTTTCCACTACAAAAGGTGGTAGTATTCTAACAATCCACAATTTCTCCCTCTTTATAAGTTTAAAGCCCAACTCCAGGACAAATTATACGCCATTTCCTCTCTCTCCCCCCCCCCCCCCTTTTCTAAGATTCCCTGGGTTAAAAAACAACAACTTTCTAAGTCGCCCTTACCTTTTTCTGTTCTTGATGGCTCTTTTTAAAAGGGTAAAACATGTGGAAATGCCATTCATTGCTGATATGTACTGCACTTTTTCTTTTTAAATTGGTTGTGACAAACTTTTTTGCCTCCTGTGTTTTAACAGTTTACCTAAAGCGGTAAAGCGAAGAATCAATGCCTTGAAACAGCTCCAGGGGAAGTGTGCTCACATAGAAGCCAATTTCTATGAGGAGGTTCACGTGTTGGAGAGGAAGTATGCCGCCCTGTATGAACCTCTCTTTGAGAAGGTATGTGTGGTACAGAGGCACATTTCATATGTACATTATCACCCGTGTGTGACTGATGGAACGTTCTTTGCTGTTTACTGCTAATCTCAGACTTGCTTGCAAACTGACAGTTCTTTGGAGTGTTAGGATTTTTTTTTTTTTTTTAACGAGGAACTGAACTCTGGAAGTTGGAGCCAAAGAAAATCGGGTAGAGGGCAAAGGAGCAGTCACCAGTATTAACTAAGGACACAAAGCGCACAGCTCACCCATATCGTGCGTCACCGCAAACCACACTCGGTGCGCGGATGACTCTCGTGGAATAACAGGCTCCAAAACTGTAGAACCAGCACACGATGATCTTCCAAAGAAATTCAAACTTTATTCCACATGCATCTGTACAAAGAACGATCGCTGATTGTTCTTTGTACAGATGCATGTGGAATAAAGTTTGAATTTCTTTGGAAGATCGTGTGCTGGTTCTACAGTTTTTTTAAGTCCCCAGTATTGCCTGTGGTCTCCCTGCAGCTGATTTTTTTCGCCATTACTGACTTACCGTGCCTTGTTCTGCACTATGTCTGTGTAGGTGGCCATCTTGGTAGAGAAGGAGTTTGCGTCCTTGTGTTAGAACTGCCCTTGGCCACCATGTCCAATAGTGAAGGTAAGTCTTTCTAGTAGCAAAAAAAAAAAACCTAACAAGAGTTGCAGCTCTCCACAATAAAAAAAGTAGTAGTTTGGGTTTTACATACATTAAAGAAAGCCGGGCAAAACTTTTCTTAACCCTTGCAGTGGGGCTACCCCTGCACTGCAAGGGTTAACTGCTGGTATTTGCCTAGATGCTAGAATAAAAAATGTATACTCTCCAAATCCTCTGAGCCGGTTTGGTCACAGCGCTCCCTCCAGCTTGTCTCTTCCTATGCTGCAGCTATAGTGTCGCTCAGTGTCCTCACATCCAGTACACAGTGTATTGGACATGATGACTCGAGGATCTAAGGATCGCTGCAGTGGAGGGGGAGCGAGGCTGGAAGGATTGGGCTAAGAGCAAGCCGGCTCTGATGATCAGGTGAGTATAACACCTAGATGAAAATTAGCATTTAACCCTTGCAGTGTGAGGTTAGCCCCACTTCAAGGGTTAATAAAAGTTTTGCCCGGATTGAGACTTAAAAACCAACAAGAGACTTTTTTTTTTTTTTCTTATTGTGGACAAAGTTTTAAGCAGCTCAGGCTTTAATGCAGCGTTGTCCACCACAGTACATCTGTTTCACTTACAAGATTCCCTCTGTCCTCTGGGCTGAATGTTGCCCAACGTCATTCAACCCAGAATACTGAACAACTACCATGAATGGATAGGTGTCGTTGCCCTGCCTCGTTCTAGCATCACCATGATGATGCCTTTTATGCATAGTGTATCTACTGTATTTTGGAAGAAGACCCAGCGTGCTAGATGACTGTACATAGTCTGAAGACACCTGAAAAAGGTAAGTATTCAAAATAAAAAAACTGGGGAGTTAGGGTGATTAGGAGAGGAAGGGGATTGACTTGAGTCCAGATTGTGGGCCTTTAAATCATAATTAATCATTTTTACTTTGGGGGGAGTGTAGCAAAGTTTAATCTGTTGCCTTGTTTTTTTTTTTTTTTTAGCTATCTGGAACCTTGGCAGATAAAGGTTTGCTGTGATAGGTCGGGCCTCCTCACTGGCCCATGTGACATTTTTCACTCTGACGCATCCGCTAGAGGACACACAATATACTCCTATGAAGAAACCCCAAGATGGTGGATGATGTAGCATCCTCTACCATCTTGGGGTTTCTTCATAGGAGTACATTAAGTACACTCTTGGCCTTTTGACAAGCTTGGTTAGAGCTGAGAAAGGCCTGGTGCAGCAGTGCTGAAGGTGATGGAAATCGCCTTTTGTGGAGTCCCAGGTATCCAACCATGTGGAGGATCTAACATTTTATACATTTTTAGATGCAATCGCTTAAAATGTAGCCAGACACTGTCCTTTCTGCCTTTAGCAAAAGGGGTGCATGAAGATGACATTTTTCCAAGCTGATTTTTCTTAATATTATATTTTGTAGAGAATGTTCATTGTTACGGGAGAGGTGGAGCCGACAGATGATGAATGTGAATGGCACAGCGGTGGCGAGGAGGAAGACAAAGAAAAATTAGCGGTAAGCAACCAAGTCAGGTTTGGTGGTGTGCGGGAATAAAAAAAATACACAATACATCCAATCAAAAGAGGCACAATGTGGGAAGTGGCTTTTCCTTGGATGAATATTGGGAGAGGTCAGATGACTTGGACCATATTGAGACCTTGTCAGTCCATGGTATTGTGTGCTGTTATTAGTGTTGGAATGCGCTAGGGAATATTAAGATTGTCATGCGTGGAAGGTACTCAGAACTTCAGCTTCTAAAGCAACACATCGGTACCCCTCAAGTGTGATTTAATCTGTTTGGGATGAATATTGATCTAGCATCCATAGGAGAGTGCAACCACTCATTAGTCCATGGTAGTTGAATGAGCAAAGATGTCTGCGTGTTTGGATTTAACACCAGGGCTGCAGCCTTGTGGAGTTACTGCCACAATTTGATCAGTGCAGAGAGTCAAGGCAGCAGCATTGCTTTGCTGGGAAAGAAATCAATGTATGCATGTGGTGAGGGACAGAATGGTGGGGATGGGTGGAGTTCTGTAGTCTAGCAGGCAGGGCTGACAACTCTGGCATTTTAGCCCAGAAAAACAGAACATAGAGTCTCTGGAATATCATTGTTTATTCATATGATTGAGCCAAACAGCCAACAGGATGAAACGGAAAATGGACAGAATTTTTGTTTCCTTTAATATTGCCTTGATGTACTCGCATCTAGAGATTAGGTTACCTAAACCAAAGGGTTGTTGGTCAGCACTAGATTTTAATAAGGGGTTAATACTATAAAAGAGTCAAGAAGCCCTGATATGGTGCACAGTCCGGGTGATTGGTGCTATTTTAATTTACGAGCTCTGATATCTGGAGTGATAATGGACTTTTTGGGAAAATAATCTTTATCTGCAAGCTCCATTGCAAGCGTGTCTGAAAGATTCCTGCACAACAGATTTGTAATTTAATTCCCATTCCTAATCTAGGAGATGAATGCAGTAGGGACACTTGATCCGTTGACCACTATCTCTAAGGCTTCTTCAATGTGGGCTGAACAGGAGGGGATCCATGCACAGATTCTCCTCCTGATTGGAACGCTATGGATCTTATGTCACCTCTGTGACATCTCGATCCGGCACGATCAAGTCCATTGAAACAAAACATTGTTCCATTTGTGTTTCTGGAGCTGGCAGGAGTCAGTTTACACACGGTTGCCCGTAGACTAGCATTGGGAATCTGATCGGGTCCGCCTGAAAAACTTACAGGTGGACCCAAACAAACCCCCCATGTGAAAGCGGCCTAAAAGGTGGATATCCCTTTCTATGTAAACGTTCCTGTTGTGTCTATAGGATAGGAAGTGAAAAATCTTGGGGCAAAGATCCCAAAAAGAGAAAAACAACTCCTACAGCAGCTATTTTCTACGGTATCCATCATTAAAAAAAGTAAAGGTTTTGGATACAGATGTAATTTCCCTAATTTGTTTTCTTGTTTCCTATAGGAGGATTTTAAAAAAAAGATGACTATTTCTGAGACGCCGAGTGCAGAGGATGCCAAAGGAATCCCTGACTTCTGGCTGACCATTTTTAAGAATGTAGACATGATCAATATATCTTTACAGGTGAGTCCCCTTTTGATGGAGACCTAATGCTAGACTTCCCTGCAGTTACAGCAGCTTCTATAATTGTCATGGGACTTCCCTCCACATTACTGACATCGGGTGTTTTCCGCAACGGCCACTGCAATTGCACTATATACAAAGACTTTTTGGACAACACTTCCAGCTTGTGGCAGCAGTTTGTTGAAGGCCCTTTTCTGTTCCAGCATGGCTGTGCCCCTGTATACAAAGCCAGCTCCATAAAGACACGGTTTGATGACTTCAGTGTAAAAGAATTTGTGTGGCCTGCACAGAGCCCTGACCTCACCCCTACTGAATGCCTTTTAACTAGAATGCTGATTTGTGAGCCGGGTCTTCATCCAACATCAGCACATGACCTCACTAATGCTCTTTTGGTTGAATGGGCGCAGGTTCCAACAAAAACACTCCAAAATCTTCTTTAAAGCCTTCCTAGAAGAGTGGAGGCTGTTTTAGCCTCAAACGCAAACTCCGTCAATTGCCATGGTGTTGGAATGGGCTGTCCGACATTTTCATATGGGCACCTGACCATCACACCTACCAACGTTTGGCTAATTTAGAATGCAAATGCTACTCAGTGCTTAATTAATGCCTTCCCTTTGAAATGTTGCTGCTGGAAGCCAAACTTCAGCTAGGTTAGCAAATTCCTTTGTGTAAATATACGGTATTTATTTTTCAGTTCAGATGCTCATGTGATTTACAGTCACTTTGCATAACCAGCTACAGGATACTACAGGTCTCTTCACTGTTCATTTTGCTTTCCTTATCCTTTAAGGCTAGTTCACACCAGCCCAAGTGCTTTCCGGCCCGATTTGGTGCCAGGGCAAATTGGATCGCATCCCGGTCGGCTCTCCCGGCATTGTGGGGACAGGAGGGGGAGTGGCGGTGCATTGAAGTCAATGGCACCATAGCCACGCCCCTTGGCCGCAGTGCGATCATCCGCACCCTAACGCGTGGCACATCAGTGCCTGCGTTCCGGTCTGGTGCGGTCAGAAAAAATAGTGCATGCAGCACTTTTTCTGACCGGATCGGAATGCAGGCATTGATGTGCCACGCATTCTCGGGTGTGGGTAATCGCACTGCGGCTGGGGAGCGTAGCTGCAGTGCCATTGACCCTTCCGACCCAGGGAGCCGGCCGGGATGTGATCCAATGCGTTCCGGCACCAAAAACTTGTTTCACTGACAGCACTATTTATTATAGGTATTCATATAGCACCACCTATTTAAGCAGCGCTTATTTGTACATTCACATCAGTCCCTGCCTTCAGGGAGCTTACAATCGAAGGTCCCGATCTCCTATGCATTAACCTTCCAGCATATCTTTGGAGTGTGGGAGAAAAGCGGAGTACCCGAAGGAAACTCGCGCAAGCACAGGGAGAACATGCAAACTCCACACAGATATAGTTTCTCTGCCCGGATTCATACCTGTAACCCCAGTGCCGTGTCGCAGAGCCTGATCGGTTTACAGTGCAGAACTGCTGGCAATTTTTTCAAATTTATTTATTAGAGCCTGTTCATACCATGTTGTTGCATTAATGCACACTTTACCACAATGCATGTTAAATACATTGATGCTCTGTCATTCGACAGCACCCTAAAGTACCTTGCTGATCGACATTGCGGTGCGCTACTAAAAAGTGCCACCTGCACACTTTTTTTTTGTGGCGAACTGCAAGGCATATTATTCAATGAATAGTACTGCAGCTCACCAGAATATTTACCGGGCTTTAGTAATGCAGCATAGTGGGAACCGGCTAATAAAGCAGGGCTACATTTTTATTTCTTTGTGTACCATGTATGCAGCTCATGCCCCGATATGTGATTGCAGCACTTACATTATCAGTGGCCACTCAATGGATGAAGGATGTGTTTAGAAGAGAAAATGACAGTGGCCGCAATAGGGAGTGTGGAGCCGTCGTAACATGCAAGTCTGCCCTATGGAAGTGCATGTTGTCTCAAGTGCTCTGACACCCCCCCCCCCCCCCGGATACCTTTTACACCCCTTTCTATAAAA